GAACCAGCTAAAGGTAGCCTTGCGCCCCAAACCTTGGGGTCACTTCCTCCTGGGCGATTACAAAGAGCCTGCCCATCTCTCCGTATAAATGAGGAGGCAAGAACTACATTCTAGTCAACTTTGTGCCTGACATGCCTGGGATCTCTGATGGGATTCAAGAAATGTAACTGGTGGGCCACCTGGGTGGCTCAGTTGGCTAGGCGACTGACTCTTGTTTTCGGCTCAGATCATGATCTCATGGTTTGTGGGTTCGAGCCCTGTGTCAGACTCAGGGCTGACGGTGGGGAGCCTGCTTGGGATTCTCTCTGTTCCTTTCTCTCTACCCCTCCCCTGCTCAATCACATGCATGTGCACTCTCTCTCTTTCAAAATAAATGAACAAAAAAAAAAAAAAAAAAAAAAAGGAAATGTAACTGGAAATACCCCAAAGTGACTGGATCACTATAGGTGTGAACCAAGGCCCAACCTGCAACTTCCCAGATGCAAACTGACCTAAAACTGTTTCAGAAGGTCAACAGTAAAATACTATAGCTCAGAACTTATGTAAATAACTTTTAAAAACACTTCACAGGGGAAAAACTTATTTAGGCGTTTTGCAATGCTCTTCTGCAAAATAAAAGTCAGGGCTGCGTCTCGATATGCCTCCAACCACGTCTTCCGGGTTCCAGGAGAGAAATGCTAACAAGGAGTAAAATCCCGGCACCCTCCATCTTATTAATATGTAAAAACGCTGGAAGTCACATCTGTGCAAGGATCTATTTTTAGTGGACCCTACATACTAAAATCCTAGCCTTGATCTCTTAAACTACCAAGCTTACCATAAATGTTTGATGATGAACAAGCCCATAAAAAGAAAAGGCGTAAAATGAATAGACGGAGTTGATGCGTGCTCCGCCTTTTAATTACTGGTGGTTTCTGCTACAACTCTGCTCCAGGCTGGGTACAGGCAAAGAAAACATATCAATAATTTGGGTGGTGGGGTGGGGGGAAGGGTGTGAGTATTGTCAACAAATGGGTCTAACCATATTGTTATGTATGTTCTGGAAACCAGATAGAGATGGGAGAAAGAGAATCCAACCCCAGAAGGGTGGGGTTCCAAAGGGGAAAATTAAGAGATAAATAAAAGCATTCGGGACACAAACAATAATGTAGAACAGTCTTGTTTTATTACTTTTAAGTAATAAAGAGCCTTTTCCTTGCTTTTTTTTGTCTCCCCCCCTTTTTTTCTTTTCTTTTTTTTTTTCCATTTTACAACATACATTAAGTCATGAATCAGATGTTAGGGGATGTGGAGATGGAAGGAAAGTTGGTGACATCACAATATTTTTACAACTTTACAACAAATATAAATCTGAGTTTGTTGCATCTACCAGTGTCTAGCAAGGGTGGAAAGCAAAGGCACACTCAGGCTTATGGACCCTCCCCCCACACGCAGTGGGGAAAAAAAAGGGAAGAAAATACTTAAATGCAAAAGACCAGCTCAATACATGTGGTCATTTTAGGGAGAACACCGCAAGTGAGGAGTTGTGGGGATGGGGGATGGAAGTTTTGACACAGGTCCCTGTACCACAGATGAGGCAATGATGCCCACGCATGGGGGACAAGACAGTGGGTGCTGCATGGCCAATACTCTTGGGAGTCAAGTGTGGGGGAGAAGGTAGCAGGGTGATGTATACCCATCACTTTCCTAAGTAAGTCCTGCATTTCCAAAGAAAAGTCCAGGGGAAAAAAACAATCATCCCAATTTCTAGAAAAGAGGGCACGGAGTTCACAGGATGTGAACACTGATTCCGCTAACAAAACGAAATAAAAACAGAACAACACAAAACTACAAAAGCCTATCTCACATGGCAGCAAAGCCTCCAGGGATGTTTACCGGAAAGGAAGGCCATATGCACGCGTCCTCATTACACACCTAGGTCTCCCTCTGATTATGCAGGTACCATGGTTTCACCAGCCACCTCAAAATTGTCCAAAATCATCTTTTTTTGAGAGTTTTTTTAAAAGACAAGACTAAAACCAGAAGATCAAACTGGAAATAAAAAGAGATGAAGAGGCCACCAAATATACTGCTTAACTGTTTCAAAACACAACAACCCAAAACAATGCTCACAGTATGTTGACAATTCTTTTGTTCGTGATAGAGTAAACGGAAGTCCCCTCTGTGTGCTCCGGCTAATGAAAACCAGAGGGGGAGCACACACCCTCCCACCCCGCCCCCATACAAACAATAACAACACAGGGATGAAGAAAGTTTTTAAAAAATTAAAAATCTTCCGCCCCAGTCAGTGTTTTTGCAGCATCCGTTGTGGTTGGCTTTGTATCTGGAGTTACTCATCCATCATAGCAGGGACCAGCCTCCCTGCGTCTCATCTATTTCCACGTCATTTCTTTGTGTGCAATGCATGTGCGTGCTGAGCCCAGGGCTTGGAGACACCTCCCAGGTACCTGGCAACTGAACACGGTGCTTTCTCCAGCCAGAGGACACAGCAGAAATGAGGAGCTGGGACATTAGTCCCTTCTCTGCTGGCCGGTGAGGATATCACCATGTTGAAATGATCTGAGAATATAAGGGAAGCGGGGAACGCTGCAGGGAGAAAGGGTATTGCCACCCACAACACTGAGGGCCACGCTTGGTAGCAGGGCCAAGGGGTGGGTGGAATTGGCACGACTAGAAGGAAGTGTGAATTGGAGGGCACGATGCTGGCCGGCTCTCCCAGGCTGCAGTGTTATTACCATCACCACTACATTCCTCTTCCATCTGCTAGATGCTAATCTTCCAGAGGGCTGGAGCGGGGGTGGGGGGAGGGAGGGTCAAATAAATATCTGCATTTATTTCAAAAGTGTGGGCAAGTTTATCATAATGACAGTTTACACGTGTACACAACTCAGGGTGTAAGGCACAAATTTACATGTGGAAAAGAGGCTATTCACAGATGTAACCCCACGAAAAACCCGTGTGAGCAAACCATTAATTTATGCAAGGTAGCAGCCAGCGTATTAATTAGTTCACACCTTTAGTGGATTTAGTTTGCTGTCTCACATGCAAGGTGAAATGAGATGGGAATCACAAGCTGGTGCCTTCACAGAAAGTAGGAACCACTGACAAAGCCATGTTGGCAGAAATGGGACGTGGATGTGTCATTCTAAAAGTTCCTCTCCCGGTTGCTTTAGAAGCTAGGATCTGGAAGGACTTTTAAGCTAAATTAATTTTTTGCATGTTATAGGCCAGAGACCTGACCAGCAAAGTAATTGGTTGATCTGAATAAATATTCCCCTGTCAACTTTTTCCTTTAGCTAGAGATCAGACAGTCCAAACACAAAGCTCAAAATTCCAGCTCCGACTTATTTACTCAGTGAATTTATTGTAAAAATAAACTCAATTATTCCAGTTAATGGATTTCACGTTAAATAGTTTAACTTTCAAGGGGCTTTCTGAAGAGCTGTTCATAGGATGGTATATGGAAGTGTCCTTTCCTTAAGGAAAAAAAAAGGGTGAACAATAAATAAAGAGTTACTTGCGTTAACGGTCACGTTATTTCATTAAAAGAGAGGAGCAGAAATCTATGACATAGTTGCCCAACATGGCATTAATCTGCTAATAACAGAAAGCTGTAACACTGGTGGGCATTTCACAGTATCTGAGTATAGTAAACTTCTGCCATTGTTAAAGTCTGAGTTAGAATTATCAATGAATCCTTTATTTTTTGTCTTTTGAATTTTCACGATTTTTAAAAAATGTATTTGTATTTCGCAGGTGGAACGCCAGCCCTGTCTGGCAGTGCCCCGTGCGGTCATGGACAAAAACGTTGCCGTCGTTCACGTGTGTGTGTGTGTGTGTGTGTGTGTGTGTGTGTGTGTGTGTGTGCGCGCGCGCGCGCATGCGTGTGGGGGAGGGGTTGGGTGGGTGGCTAATGTGCTTTTGGCTCGTGTTGGTGATGATAATTGAAGTCTTTCGTGAGTCCGACCTGTCGCACGGTGTTCGGGGAGAGTGAAGTCCGGGAATGGAGGTGAGTCCCGCGTCGCAAACCTTCGCCAAACCGCGTGGCCCAAATTCCCCGAGTCCCCCTGCGCCCCGAGGGGGCCCCAGCGTCCTCTGCTCCGCCGCGGCCATGTTGGTCTGGTGGGTACTCAGGCAGTGGAGGGCCTCGCCGAGCTGACCGCGCGCCTGGCCTTTCCTGCTGGTTCGACACCCGACCCCTCCCCCTGGGATTATGTACACGCGTCATTGGGCTTCATGGATGTGGAAAGGGGGGCAAAGGAGGGTTTGGGGGGTACGTCCGGCTTTAGCGAGGGTGTGCGCTTCAGCCCCGACCTCGTCAGCGAGTTGTAGGCGTTGAGGCTGGGCTGCCGCGAAAGAGTCACGGCCTGGCCGGAGGGCTGCGCGCCGTGCACCTGGATCGAGTCCACCCGCTGCGGGGCGGGGGGCGGGTTGTCTCCCCGGCCAAAGCTCTGGTTTCTGGACAGGTGGGAGGAATTGGAGCAGTTAGTATTGTTTCTTTTGAGAGTGGTGGCCTGGTGGCTTCGCGTGAGCGAGTTCGTGGGGTAGCTCCTCTTATAGTCAAGGCCGTAGGAGGAGGAGTGGTGCATTTCCAGCCGCTTGCTCAGGCCGTTCTGAGACAGCGAGGCCCCCGGGGGGCCCAGGGAGGCCTCCCGCTGGGGGACTTTGGGGGGCAGGCCGTCCAGGTTCTCCACCAGATTCACCCCGTGGTTGGGACTCTTGCTGCTGAGATGCTCCTTGATGGTCTTATACTCCAGGGTGGCCGCCTGGTCCTCCAGCGCCATCTGGGCCACCTCGCTCATTTTGGGCTGGTCCACGTACTCGTGCTGGTAGCCCTGCTGCGTGATGGGCAGGACCACCACGCTGGGGATGTGGCTGGGGGAGGCCCGGAGGGGCAGGTCCGTGGGGATCACGGGGGAGCCCATGGGGGGCATGTCCTTGGTGCAGGCGTTGATGAGGTTCTGGTTCCTCTCCCACTCGCGGCTGCCGCGGCTGGGCTTCCTCTTCTGCTGCAGGGTTGGTGTGGACTCCGGGGTGGGCAAGGCCGCCAGGTCCAAGTGGTGCTGGTCCGCCTTGATGAGCATCTTGGCCGTGTTGCCGGGGGTGGCGAGCTTGCCGTTGTGCATGAGTGGTGTGAGGATGGCCTCCGGCTTCGGGTCTTTGGACTGGCTGTCCCCAAAGAGGCCGCTGAGCTTGGTGACGCTGCTCATGGAGCCCCGGCGCGAGTGGGTGAGCTCCTTCTCTTTGCGCTGCACGGCGGACACGTCTTTGCGCCTGTGGTCGCAGACGCAGTAGACGATGATGCCGGAGAACACGGCCCCCATGACAAAAGCCAGAATGACCGCAATCGCCAGGAGGGTCACAGGGACGAGCTGGTCATGGCCTTTGAGGTAACTTTCCCGAATCACTCCTGCAATAGACATCGCAGACGGTGTTAAGACATGAAAGCAGACCGAGAAGGCTTATCTTTGTTTGGCGTTCACCCCGTTAATTAATAACAGTAATAAGTGACAATAGCACCTCTGCAAAACTTGTCTTGGGGCGCAGCTTGCCAAACGTTAACTAATTAACCCTCTTCAACCCCCCACCCCCCCACCCGGTGAAGTATGTAAATAGACTTCCTTTGTTGCTTCTCTGTGTTCAGAAAAAGTGCTTTTCCCTCTCACAAGGATATGCTCTTTCTACTCTAGTTCGGTCACCGGAATAGGACAATTTTCCATTTCCAGACTTCATCCCTTCTCTCCCCCTTCCTCTTTCCTCCATCTTATTACCCTTATAAAATTGGGATAACAGAGAGATTTTGGGTCTGGGGGGAGGAAGAGGCAACAATTTTATGCCTGTTAAATGAGCAAATGGCAGAACACTCCAGGCTTCGGGAGTCTTTTCTGATGACTTCTTTGTGGGCACCATGGCCTCTGTCTGGAGAAAAGCTGTGTTTGCATTTCGCGCAACTGGAGGAAAGATCGCGTGTGTCACTTACAGTGAAAGAAAATAGTTAAAGCTCACATTACAAACGTTTATGCTGATTCTGTATCATCCTTCTCAAAAAAAAAAAAAAAAAAAAAAAACCCGCCCAAACACAAAAAACCCATGTGCACTCAATTTCAGGTAAATATGCTGAATATTTGAATGAAGCTCTTCCCTTCCTTGAACTGAAAGAATATTTAGAAAAAAAAAAAAAAAAAAAAAGACCATTTGGGGCCCTGTAGTGGGTTTGAGAAGTGTCAGGTCTCATTATTACAGCTAGAGTTTGCTGTCACGATGAGATTCTTCAGCAGAGCTAATCTCTTCAATTTAATAAAAATTATGTGACTACAGCCGTCAATAATCTTACACTACATTAACCGAGATGCCGTATTTCTCAAGAAAGTTGCTTTCCCTCTTCCTGCTTCATCAGCCACCAAGCTGAGAGACTCTAATCAAATGGAAACACTGAAGCTTTTATTTCTTAATACCAAGTGAGAATACACATCACAATTGTCAGATCTTAAGTGCTTGATGCGGTAGCTAAAAAACACAATCTCAGATACCTCAATTCCTGCCTCTGGAGAGTGCAAGAACATGAATACATTAGAGGCACTGCATGGGCTGAGGAAATATAAACATTGTTCTTATTATGGAAATGATAGTAAGACAGAAAATGTACCTTCTCTGGTCTCAGGAGAAACATTTTTCATCTACTAAATCAACTCTTTCTGGAATATGTTTAATGTATTTTACTGGCAGATATCAGCTGGCACAGAATTAGAATGAAGCGAAATGAAACTCTCTTACCCCATCCTAAACCCACACCATGCAACCCTTCAACTTCTGCTGAAATACTTTGTATCCATCACAGCTGAGCCCTTGAAGAAAGGCAGCTTTGTCGTGGGAACTTTCTGCTAAAATATTTTGATTAGTGAAACAGTGGTTTTATAGCTCAGAAACCTTTGCATGTGGAAGAGAACATTTTCTTTTCCTTCTAAACGTTCCTCCTCCCCTTAATTGTGACATCACTGTTGGTTGCTGTGGAAATGATTGTCAAAGACAAAGGATTGTGACTTCAGGGGGAATAAATAGAAGCAGTAGATATCTCTTGAGAAACTAAGATTCTGTGATTAAACAAATGCCCTTGCTAATGAAGGACAGGGCAGGCGCTTCACCCCAGGGAAAGAGTCTGTAAGATGGCAAGACTCTGAATAATTTCTAAACGTGACACTTCTCACATATCTCCAGACTTATCTTCATGAACTTTTGAGGGGTAGAAATTGAGAAACAAAACAAACAACCCCCCCAAAAAAACCCAGCAGGGGATTCAGCTATAACTCACACCTTTTATATGCTGGAGCTCCCCTAACGGTGAGGTGCCTTGCATTCAAATATGTTTTAATACATGGTCACCAAGGAGCTGTGTTAATGAAAATTTCTTCCTTAAATTTTGCATTTCCTTGTTGTAATGCTGAAATAGCAACTGATTTCTTTCAATTTTGATTGGGGGTTCTATTGAACATCATTTTTAACCACCCACATACAATGGCACAAAAATGTACATCTGTGAATAAAATGGGTTTGATTTCCATCACTGACTTGGAGATCTCGGTGGATTTTAACCACAGGGTAGACCTCACCCGTGGGGGTGGGGTACTAGGTAAATTTTTTTTTTTAAGCAGTGGGTATTTCATGGATCCCTTCATGGCAACACTATGGGGACTGTGTCTTCCCAGTAAATGCATGCTTACAATAGGTAGTTATCTACAGTTGACTTTGGTATTTTACATTTAAATTGTAAAATGTAATTTTTACATTGTAAAAAAAAAATTTTACAGTGTAAAAGGCAATTTAAATTTGCCTCTCGACTGTAGAGGAACAGGGCAAAAAGAATAAGGCTAAAGTGGCCCCATGTATTTTATTCCTTATTTAATTGGGAAAAAGGCAAAAGTTTCAAGTTTATCCAGGGCTGCTTTATTGATAGTTCCCAAATATTACTCGTTGATGTCTGAAGATCTTTGACTATCTTAACCTCATGGAAACCACTTGCTCTTTCACTGGGAAATACGTTTTTTAGGGGATGACATTTGAGTTGAGGTTTTTGGTTGTTAACAAATCAAGTAGGGTCTGACCAAGAAAAATCATGTCTCAAACAGCACCCCCACCCATCCCCCGTTTCATTTTCTTATGTAAATAGTGCCCTTAAAAACCTGCATCCCTTCAGTTTTGAGATAACTACCATGAAGCAGGTGGCTTCCCTCATCTGATTGTGTAAATCCAGAAATCCCATGTCCAAAGTTAGAAATAGATCAGAGATTAAGTTGAAAGCGCAGTCAAGAAGATAAGTTTTAAGTTATTTTTGGAAAATGCCTTCTAAACTTAAGGCTTTCTGCTTATAGCATGAAAAGGGCAAAGGGGCATTCACGGAAATGATTACATCAACTTTGTGACGTTGGTTGCTGTGAAGAACTGAACACACCAGATTTGTCAGAGGGGTGGGGGTGCAACCAGCACTAGGGTCTCCAAAGGCCTGGGGTCTTAAGCTCCCACTTACAGTGTTGTGTGACCTTTTGGCAGGTGACTTATCATCTCCGGGCCTCACTTTTTTCATTTGCGATATGGGGTTCACACACTTTTAAAGCCTTTATGGGGTTTTTGCAAGTATCAAATGATGTAACAAGAAAGAACTTAAATGCTGTAGTTTCCTGGACAGATCTGAAGGGCAAAAGAAGCCACAAAAGAGAGTGGTTGGTTAGTCACTCACCCACCAAGGGCTTAAGGGTCACAACTGCTCCATTTGACTCCATTTGCTGTGGGGCTCCCTGGGGGGGAGGAGGACAGACCTGTCCTCAGCTCCAAACCCTGTGCTGGTCCAGATGTTGCCAAAGGGATAATTTGTTGAGGCAACATAAGGGAGAACATACCTCTGTTTGAGGACTGCCCATAGGTCCTGAGTGAAGTCAGTAAACAACAAATGCAGGAAATGTTGAGTAAAACCCAGTGATTGTAGACTCCTGGTGGACTAATAATCCTGCATTCAGCTCCTGGAGGGAAGGGACTGTAGTTTGTGTGCATTTATAACCTTTACCATCACCAGGGATCTTAGTTGGCCACTTAACAAATGATTATTAAGTAAATGGGTTTGCAATACATTGTAGACACATTTTTAAGAGGGCCCCTAAATTTGGGTCATTTTTGGAGTTACCATAACCTTCTGAAGTCACAGAACCAAATGAGGTCTCCACCCATAGAACAGAATATAATAATACTAACAGCCGTTAGACAGAAGAAATTTATAAAAGTGCTCTGTATATGTTTAAAATAATGATGAGGAACTATTTTAAAAGTCAAAAGAAATTCATTCTGGGATAATTCCAAAAGAGATGATGAGGCTAAATAGGTTATTTGTAACAATTGGGTGCTCTGGTGTAATTAAATAATTGAATAATTCAAAACAAACACAACTCCACAAAGGGAGCTGGTAGAACATCATTGCTTCTGATGTATGGAATCCCCCCACCCCCCAGGGAAGTGGAGGGGCCTTTATAGGGTGGCATACTCCCTCTCCAGGTCTCATCCCCCACCCCCACTTACGAGGACCGATAAGAGTTGGCTTCTCTATCCTGGGTCATTGAAATGCCTTCCTCCACCAACCCCTGGGGCTTCTGCTCTCACCAGTTGAAAATGGGACATATAATGAAAACAGTATCTGAAACAGCCTTTGCATTGATTCATTAACCACCAACTATTTCTCACCAGTCATGAGGTGCTAAATGGTTATTCTTTCCACCTTCCTATTGCAGGAAGCAAGGCACACAATGGCTTAGAGATTTCTCTGAAATCATGCCTTAAATTGGCAGAACTGAGAAAGAATAGAATCTTCACTTTTTTTTTCCCCCTGAGGTGAGAGAGTTTTTAGATGCTGGAGGGTTGCTGGAGGGAGGTCTCAGAGCGACAATTTTAAGCTCTTGAGAGGCTGAAGCAAGGAAAAGAGTATGAACAACCTCACCCTCCAGGCCCTGCAAAGTGTAATTAAAATAAGAACGGTTACAAACCTAAAGGAAGTCCAGCACAGTCCTGACTCTTCCCATACTGACCACGCGAAGGCATTTTGAAATTTCAAACCTCAGATTGTTATATATAATACGGTTTCCGGTAGCCCTTCTCTTGGATCCTCTACAATTGCCTCGTCTGCGCTGGAAGCCCAGTGCCAAGCTCTGGGACAGCATACCTCAGAAAAGATGCTCTCTTGGACTGTGATGTTCTCTGTGCCTTTACCCTCATTGTCACGGTGTGACAGGGTGTCAGCTCCAAGCATTTGGTGGGTGCCTTCAGACATTTCCTGAGCACAGACCAAAGCACTGTGCCAGGTGCTGGACAGACAAAAGTGAAGGAGGCACAAACCCTGTGATCCCCTTGGGGAGAAGGCAGGTGCTCACACGT